TGGTGAAGCTGAGCTGGGAAACAGACTGAAGAACAGCAGCTCCAGTTCTGATCCTGACTGATCTTTCCTCACAAAATTCCCTGTTTTTTAATTAACTTCTCGTCTAACAGCGGTTTTTCATCAGCTCTCTCTCATTAGAAAACAGTATGAAAACATTAGCTGCTACGCTAACAATCAGCGGTTACTTCGGGTCAATTTAGATGCAAAGGAAATATTTCTCGGTTGTTTAGAAGCGAATTTCTGGCTGCAAAGTCAAGTAATTCTGATCTTTCATCCTTACCTGTGAAAGGTAATGCCAATGAATCCAGTTTGTTTCGTAAAACCGTTGAAACAGGACTTAAGGAGGTCCCATTGCCCTGCTGCCACATAGAAGATGGCGGACACTGTTGCGTACGACTCAGCACTCCATGAGGCGTCTACATATTCATGTCTATTTGCTGAACAGGAACTGTTTTAGCTGCTAGCTCGGATGCTATAAAGATTGATAGTTTTGTAGTTCAAGAAAAAATGTTGCAGCACAGGTACATTGTGTGTAGCTCTGATGTCGTAAAGATTTATAGGTTTTGTAGCTCATAACAAAATGTCAGCAGGTGCCACGATTTGAGCCTGCTGTCTCTCCAAAATGTTGCAGCACAAACAGTCTCTGAGAATCAGATGATCATTTAAGCCCTGTGACTAAAGATTTTGATCCTAACAATGGTAATAATTATTAAGTCTTATTAATTAACAATAATAATTATTAATTGATATTAGTAATCATTATTACTATTATTTATTTATTGTGTAATTATTACTATTTGTTATTAAATTAGTGTTTATTATTAATAATTATAATTATTAATTAATGAACTAAGCATTTAGCTCCTGAATTATTATTTGGCAGTTGATAATCTCTTCATTTCTTCGCATCAGACCTCCAAAAGCCACATGTCTCCATTGAGGAGGAAGCCTTTGCCATCCCACGGGTCTGCAACCAAGAAAGGAAATCTAGTCAAGGCCAGGTCGAAGCAGAACATCGGCGGATTATAAAAGAGGAGGAACCAGAACCTACAATAACTGAACAATGGGGGGAACCAGAAACTAAATGGACTAAAGAAGTGGAGGACCCAGAATTGCCATTGATAAACAAAGAACAGGAGGAGTCAGATTGTTCTTTGTTTAAACTTGAACAGCAGGAACCAGACTATTTACTAACTACACAGGACCAGAATGACCTCTACGGCAGTCAGGATGGAGAGCAGCTTGTCCAGAAGCAGTTTGTGGCTTTGATGGAGACTCCTACTCCACAAACTGAGCAGATTTTATTTAAAATCTCTCCTGTAGTTGAGGGCAAAGATCAGGAAGGAAGCAGCTCCACTGTGTCAGAGACTCAGTCTCATCCTGACACAAAGAAAAGACCTTTCAAATGTGATATTTGTGGAAAATGTTGTAAATATCAGAGTGAGCTGAAAGTACATTACAGAACCCACACTGGTGAGAGGCCTTTTCCATGTCAAACATGTGGAAAAAAATTTTCTCACATTAGTAATTTAAATTTTCACATTAGAATTCATACAGGTGAGAGGCCTTTTTCATGCCAAACTTGTGGAAAAAATTTCACTCACATGAGTACTTTAATTGTTCACAAAAAAATTCACACAGGGGAGAGGCCTTTTTCATGTAAAACATGTGGAAAAAGTTTCAAACGAATTCATCATTTAACTATGCACCAGGTAATTCACACAGGTGAGAGGCCTTTTCCTTGTGAAACGTGTGGAAAATCTTTCGCACGGAGTGCAGATTTGAACATTCACAGGCAAACCCACACAGGTGAGAGACCTTTTTCATGCCAAACGTGTGGAAAAAAATTTTCTCGCATGAACCATTTAACTCTCCACAAAAAACTTCACACAGGTGAGAGGCCTTTTTCTTGTGAAACCTGTGGAAAATCTTTCATACGAAATGCCACTTTGAATGTTCACAGAAAAACTCACACAGGTGAGAGGCCTTTTTCTTGTGAAACCTGTGGAAAATCTTTCATACGAAATGCCGCTTTGAATGTTCACAGGCAAACCCACACAGGTCAGAAACCTCTATTGTGCCAAATCTGTGGAAAAAGTTTTAATCATGTTGGTAAACTGAAGTGCCACATGAATCAAAAACACAAAAGTGAGAGGTAGTCATTTGACTGTCAGATTTACTGCTAAGATTAAAACTTGTCTTGGTAATTTTCTCTGTCCAAAATATGTTAAAAAAATAAATGTTCACTAATTTTAATTAGACATAGTTAGAAATGGACGGGAAACTCCATGCAGAAAGCTGGGAATCGAACCCAGAACCTTCTTGCTGCAAGGCAACAGCGCTACCAACTGCACCACTGTGCAGTCCATCATGGAGCCCAGGAATTATTTTTATTTATACTGAATCCGTTTTTACTTGATGAAAATACAGTTTTAATTTGATTTGTAAAAGTTAGTTAGTTGTTTGTAAGAGTTTCAGCCAGAACTGTTTTCATTTCTACAAACAGTAGAAATGTTCTTTGACAATCTTCAAAGCTGTTTCAAAGATAAATGTGAATAATGTTTAGCTCAAAGCCATCAGGTAAGTGTAGAAAAACATGTATAGAAACCTTAGTTGTAAAGGAAGTGACACAGATGTAGTGGAAGCACTAAGAGCGGAACTCAAAGCCGACTTATGCTAAACGATGCAGGGCCAAAGCTTGCAGCATTCCACACACCTTTCTGCAGTTATTTATGTACATGTGCAATTGTCTATACACCTTGTCCATGTTGAGAATATTTGAACTTGATCTGGTTGGAGTTAATCTGCTGATCCCGCTGATTTTGTTTTCTATTTCAGTGATAATGATAGTACCCTGCAGTTAATATGCATTTCATGGGCTTAGGTGCACAGACTGATGTGCAATTACATCTTTATGTGACAAAAACAGTGGAAATGTACTGAGATTTTCCGATCCGTTTAATTTTTATTTGGATGTATTCAATAGTGGGTTATGTTATTGTATGAGGATGATTGTGGTTCAGTTTAATTGTTTAATGTTAATAAAATAATAAAAAAGAACACTGGGTTTGATGCTCCTTTGGTTAAATCAAGCTGAATGGGGTCAGATAGATTCCAATGTATTTTGGGGAAGTTTTTGGTGTTTTGTAGTTTATTGTTCAATACAAAAGTTTGCATGGCTGAAACAATTTTCAGGACAGGAAAAATGTTTGCGTGTATTTACACAGACCTTTGCGACACGTTCATTTTTATACATCCAGTGCTGTGAGTAAGATATTAAAGATCAGTAATCAGCTTTTCTGATTTCTAATTAACTGCAGTTTGGATGTCTTTGTCTTTCTGTAAGCTCAGTTGCTGTCCTCCTTTTTATTTAAATTTTACTGTTTTTCCAGTGGTGAAAAAACTTTCTGACTTTTGGATCTTCCTTTCACGGATGCAATGTTAACAGAAAAAATCATGGCACATATATTTTTTTCATTACACTTACAGCCCTTGTTATCCATTTCAAAACATTGCACTTAACCAAGATATGTGTGAGGATATGTGTAAACACACATATCCAGTAATAGATTGTGGGTATAAACTCATCAAAAACTGTCCCTGATGGATTACTGGGGTTAACTAATGTTAAAGTTATGCATAAATGCGTGATTTTCCATTAAGCGTGTAACAAATATCTCACCATCTCTGTTCAATTCATTCTGTCTGTCTAAGTTCAGAGGTAGTAGCAGTGCATAACTTCACTGAAACATGAGGTTTGAGCCTTCACAGTGGCTGTAGTTCCCATGTGGTGTGAGCAAAACTCAACAGTTATGAAGTAGAAATGAATTTGCAATGAGCTGTAGATATGGGCAAGTTTGGGGATAAATGTCCTCAAATTAAATTTGGAGCGAATTTGTGCTGCTGTTGCAAAAAAATATGAATTTATCTTAAATCTTTTGATTATTTTTTTACCAGCTACCAATGTGTGGATGACACTTTACTCTGCAAACGTCACCTTCTCTTCAGTTAAGCACTACAAAATAAGTTCAGATGAAACATGTGGTGCTGACAGTCCAGGATATTCAGGAACAGCCAGGTACATGCCTGAGACGGTGACCAATTAATTTAATTTAATGATCATTTCCTTTGTCCCCACAGACCTCCAGAAGACACATGTCTCCAGAGAGGAGGAAACTCCAACAGGTCTGACACCAGGGGAGGAAGACCCGTCACGACGAGGAGGAAGTAGGACATCAGTTCACTGAAAAAGAACAGATGGAACCAGAGCCTCCAGTGAAATAAGGGGAAAAAAACAGAACCTACATGGGTTAAAGAAGAAAAAGATGAACCAGAACCACCACTGATCAACAAGGAAAAGGAGGAAACACAAACTTCAGTACTTACCAATTAAAAACCAGAACTAGAATACTTACCAACTAGACATAACCAGAAGGACCTCCGTAGCAGTCAGGAGGGAGAGCAGCTTGTCCAGAAGCAGATTGTTGCTTTGATAATAGACACCACCGAGATTGGAAATAAAACAGCATATTTCATAGATTTGGTCCTGCATGGTGGTGGATGACTGATGATGTGGGCTCGTTTTGCACTCATTGATTCAACATAAACTTGTCTTTGTATCAAAGTCTTCTAGAACCAATGGGGAGTCTATATGTCCAACAGTTGAAGCTTGGTCAAACAAAATATATTAGTAAATTCCAATGTGTGTGTATATATGTGTATGTACATCAACCTTGCTGACACTCTGATGTCCAGAGATCTGTGCTAAACATTTTTTTTCTAAAGTAGGTTTCAAAAGAAGACTTGAGCAAAAGTTGCACTATAACAATGATGCTGTTGAAACTTTTGCTGATCTCTGCAAACTGAACTAATTTATTTTAAATGGGCCTTATGTTATTTTTTATGTCTATTTTAAATGCATCAAAGTTCCTGTCTTCAGTTTCGAGGTTTGTAACACCCTACTGATGGTTGTTCTTTTAAGATCAAAGTTTCAAGTTTCCACTGAGCATAAAATTTATAGGAAAAGCTGTTTTGGTGTTTAAAATGAGTAGCAAACTTCATTGTGACTCACTGTAGAGGCTCCAGATTGATGCAAAATCAGAGTTCAGTTGCTTCGGATTGTCTGCAGATGAACACAGTCTCAGCATCGTCTCCATGGACGCAAACTGTAACTTGTGTTGGCTGGTTAAC